TAATTAGAACTTTCAGGTGTTGGGCTTGGGCGGGGCTGTGGCGTTTATTTTTTTGTTAATTGGTGTATTTTTTCTGGACATGCAATTGTAGATGAGTCACACAATTTACGAGGCCTACGCTGGCAACTCGATACGCCGTGAAATCCATTCCGTAAATGCGTTACATTCGCGAAACACATAAAAAACTTTGGCACAGACTTTGTAAATCGTAATGGAGACAGTCATATATACTATATGCTAGCATGATATAAAGGGTATGCAGGTCCTGGTGATAAGAGCTGACTACAAGCTTCATATACATATCTTCATATATATGTATATGTATATCTTAGGGAATTAATGAATATGAACACGACAACAGACGGGTGAAATTAAGAGAGGAGAAGATGATATGAGGAGATGATAAGCGCTGCAGAAACATATAATGTAGAAACTGCTAGAGAGACCAAGAGCAAAAGTTGTGTGTAATAAATAATATGGACAAAATATTAAACAAAAATTTATTCACTTATATTCCAAAAATGTTCCTTTGATCTGTGGTATATATGTATGTATACTGTTCATATGCCACTCAGCAAATATCACACGTATAAGAAATCTTGCCCTGCATATCAAAATGAATTAAAATTCATTAGTGAGGTCTAAATTTATATAATCTCTATAGATATATATGTAAAAAAAAAGATATCTGCAAATAATAACCTTAGTTTATGACCTTTTGAAAAACATTTCTTTTCTGATAACATAATTGCAATTCTTAAGCATGTCGTTTATCAATTGAATAGTTACTTATATAAAATTTATTTATTTATCATGACCTTGTTTCTCAATCATAAAAGCACTGTTGAAGAAAATAACATGATTTAAGCCCAGCGCCATTTATGGTTTATTGTAGTTAACTGTCTCTGGAAATGATGTTGCAAATGAATTAAAGTTCGCATGATTGTTTTATGTCACTGGTCCATAAATAGTTTATTGAATTACAATTGCATATGGAATAAGCACAAATTTAAACGAGAATATGTCACAACTATGAGGCAAATCAAAATGACAACTGATGCAGAATAGTACTTAAATACGAGCAGGAGCTAAGAACTATAGCCAAACGCTAGAGATCGATCTAGGCCAGCAGACGAGCCGCGGCAGAGAACAGCACGATGGCACCGGCAATGGGGACGATGGAGGAGGAGCCGTTGCACTCATCCTTGGTGCACACATCACAGCCGATTTGCTTGACGAAGGGCAGAGAGGGATCCGACTGGCAGCCGCTCTGAATGTTGCTGACATCTCCAAAGTAGCAGCTGCGCACGATCTGCGGATGTCCCACAACTAAAAGTGACAATGAAGGTGAGAATTATAGTTAGTAAACAAAAGGAGAAAAAAATACTTTCACGCTTTGCTTAAAAAATAAATAGCTTGTAAATTATATTCAAACCCACAAATGAGTTCATTGTTCGGCAGCTGCGGCTAACAATGCCAGTCGTCTGAAAAATAATACAATAATTTTCTATGCTGCCTGACGCATTGTTCAAGTCAACGGCAACAACTTGAGTCAACAAGATTTGTAATTAACTTACGAGTTGGCATCATTTTCACGCTTGAATTCGATTTGCGATGTGCGATTTGCTTTGATGAGCTCAGCAAAGCCGCTTAAATTCGCTTTAATTGATTAGCAAGCAATTATGTATATAGCTAAGAACAAAATTGACTTCAATTACAGTGGGCTACCCCCGACTAGATAATACTCGTCTACAGTAACTTAATTGATATTTACTAACATATATATAATAATATTCTATACGTTAATACATACATCAAAATTAATATTGGCCATAACAAATATACTCTTTTAACTGCGTTAATGAGTATAACTATAAAAACAAAATTCCTATTTTTATTATTTTGGCACACATTTTTGGACCAGCATTAAAACATCTTGTTTTATAATTATAATAAAATGTGAATAATAAATAATTTTAATAGAGAAATAGAATGAGAAAAATATTTGAAATGTTTTTAATAAAAATTCATCAGCGGGATTTTTAATTATTAAAATATGTAAAAAAAAAATACCAAATATTTTTGTATCTTTTCCTATTTGTCATTCGCTGGCAATCTTAACTTGAAAGAGATATTTAAATATGCTAAGAGCTAAATTTCACGCTCCCCACCCGCAAAAGTGGAATCACGTCATAATTATTTCAATACGCTTCTCACACTAATCTCAAAATTATACGAAATTACACGAAAAACCGAAAGCACAACAATGTCGTGATACCAGCTCAAGAATCCAGCAACTGCGCAAAACACACAAACAGTCTGAACACAACACGATACACGAATACAAAAGAAACAAAACAAAAATCAAGTACAGTAAAATGACATCATAAGCGACGCGTCGCACCATAATGCGAATTTCTATGCTCGCATGAGAGCCGCCGCTAATGGATGCCGCAGATTGGCAATGCGAGAGTTTGATATGAGATTATCTATGATTATCTATGAGAGATGAGCACAATGGACGGACTTACCGCTCTCGAGCGTCTTCTTGATGCAGCCGGTGGCATTCTGGACTGGGAAGAAGGATTGCAGACTGCGCGGTGGCCCAATCTTGGCGCAATCAATCAACAGAGTCTCATCCTCCTCGAATTTCAGGCCGCATTTCGGTGTGGTAAGCGACTCGCATTGGTAGCACTTGATGGCATAGGCTGCAAGTTGACGACAAAGTTTGGATTAGTTCAAACAGGTTGCTTTTCTGGGTCAGTCGAAAATATACACACCCGAACAGGCCAGACTAATCATAATGGCCACGGCCAAACTGCATTTCAGGGCAGACACCATGTTTCAAAAATGTTTATTTATTTAATATTATTTCGCTGCAACGTTCGCTGGAATCGCTCCCAACCTCTGCTGACAATGTCTGCTGCACGTCTGACAAGTTCACAATTCTGCTGCCCCGTTCAGACGTCCGACCGGCCATCCACTGTCGTCTATCCAACATCCCCCATACTCATTTCACTCGGTTCTCTGTGCGCAACGGCGACTGCGCCGCTCACTCCAAGCACGGTTTGAGTGAGAAAAGTTGAGAGTGTTGGAAAAATTTGGTGTGTTTTGAGTATTTGTTCAACCGGTTTTCGGGCATTTGTTTAGATTTTTCAAATCAGTTTTTTCTCTCTGTTTTTCGCATAAAAATAAAAGAAAAGATTTCACTCACGCCACATAATATTATGAAGTAAACTATTGAGCGTAACGGCGACTGCGCTGCTTACTTTGAGTTTTGTTTTGAGTGGAAATTTATGTAGGGTGTGGCTCAGGTAAGCCTATTGTTGTGAAAACTAACAAAAACGGTTGTTTATATTAATTGGTCAACCGGTTTTTCACTTGCTTAACTTTGGTTGTGCGCTTTGAATTCACATTGAAACAGTCACGTTTTTAGGTATATTTTATAAGAACTGTGAGAGAATTATAAAGAAAATGTTTACTTCATAATTTAATAAATAAATGACTTGATAAATAATGAATATTACAAAAATATTTCTTTTTGTAAATGAAAAGCTAAACTTATATAATAATTTGTTCAATAAAGTTTATTTCTATTTTAATTAATATACTTTTTACATTTAATACCCAAAACAATTGGTCTTGCAATTTTATTCTCAGTGAATAATGCAGCCATTTATATGCAGGTGTGCACTTTGAGAATTGTAACTAATGCTTAATAAAAAATGGCCAGATCATATAATAGCCTACCATCGTCATCGTCATCAGCTGCTATAAAAATAAGTTACAGTACTAAAAACAAAAATTAAATTAAATCGTTGACTCATTAGCAGTCAGTTGACAAAATGTTGCTGTTAATTAATTTTACACATAATAAAATATTTTATTAAAGAGGCTTCAAATGCTAAGCATTTATTCAATATGCTGTTGTTTTCTTAAAGTCCACTGACACAAATTGAGTGAAACATGAAGCTGAAACTATTTTTGGAAGCCTCCTAAAAGAATGCAACATTTTATTTAACAATTTATCGCATTTCAGATAGTTTTATCCATTCAATATAAAATCCCGATAAATCAGCTTTGGTGTTATTTGAGCTTAGCAGCAGGATAAATGACAAAGACACAGTGGGTAGCAATTGCGCTCTAGCTGAGACGCTGCCCAAATCAAATCTAAGGGACACCGAATAAGGGAGAAATGACGTCAGCAGAGAATTCATAGAATATTCCCTTAAAGTCGTAATTGGATTAGTTGAGGACTTAGTGGTGCTCGCTTATAGGATACCAAATGTTTAAGGCTTCTTATTTTAGGTGCTTAAGAAACTACTTCCGGTTTATATATCAATGTAAAGATTTTGTGTATAGATTTATTACTTGAATTTCCTACCACAGAATATATAACTTTGTACCCTTAACACATGATTAAGTTCGATAGAGCAGCCTTTGCTTGCCACGGGGAGCACTTTATCATTTGCATAAATTACGTTAGATATTGCAGAACTAGATTTGTTTTTGGAGGACGATGACAGGCAAAGATTCATAACAGCATTTGGAAGGGAACCGGCAAGATATGGTGGAGGGATGTGTACGGAATGGGGTCACAGAGAATTATTTGTGGGAAAACTAATTGCATTACCAGTAGCTTAGACTAATTTAGGTTAGATTAGGTGAACTCTAGTATAATCCGAAATGGTCTCCTCAATTCCTCAATTGCATGAACATAGGCCAATAGATATATGTATGTATATCCGATCCATTACGTCCCATCCCGCTTAAATAACATTCATTCCAACAACTGTCACATAGATAAGGAATTTATTCGGTGTCAGATTTATTGTTTATACAATTGTGATAAATACATTGAAGAATGCTTAAGGTGTTTTGACTTGTACATTTTAACATTTATTTACTATCAATATCATTATTATCATTATTGTTATTGTGGTACTTTATCGCTTATAGGGCGTGGCTTGCTGTTGTTGAAGTATTCGATTGGTAAGCTAAGCTATTTATTTATCTGAGTGTTAAGTTAAAATCGATTTAAGCAAATCATGAAATGCACCCTAAAGTAATTCACTAAATGAATCAAATAATTGTAGATTAAAACCTTAAATAAAATGGGGTTTACGAGGGACTACGAAAGTATAATACGCCTATAACTAAACTAAGTAAAGTATTAATGTTAATCAGCGAATGGCTCAGCTGTGGGACTAGCTAAATAAAATATCACGTTCCAACTAAAAATAGAGATACGATCGAGGCGACGTGGCCATCTTAGTTGGCCAACTGGTCGGCCAGGGCCATAGCCGGCAACAGAATGGCCGCAAAGATGGCTGCGAGGCCGGCGGCGCCATTGCAGCGATCAGTCAGGCAATCCTCGCAGAATATTCGGCGCACATTCTTCTCCGGGGTTGTCACATTGCACAGCTCCACGGGATCCGATTTGTTGGTGTAGTAGCAAAAGCGTTTGGTGACGATTTTGCCATCGTCTAAAATGATAGAGAGGGCTCATTAGTGGGGGTATATGAAGTCGGTCGGATGCACTTACACTCCTCGACGGTTTTGCGGCAAACGGCGCGCTCGTGATCCGAGTTAATGGAGCTGTTGCAGCTGCGCAACAGATTTATATTGCGCTCCTTGATCAGCTCCGTGGGTATGTTATCCTCCTGGAATGTCACATCGCAAAAGTCCTCCGAGCCAATGGTGCTCGAGCTGCAGTGCCAGCACTGCAAATGCTGATGTTCGTGTGCTGCAAAGATGAGCAAGCCAAATGATTCGATTAGTTCATGTTGCTGCACGACCTTTACGGCCTGACCTCAATTCGGAATGGGTCGCCAGAGCTGTACTCCACATTAAAACTGAACAATGTGTGTATCCAGAAACTGAAGCCGTTGACATCATCACGCTCGCTCATTGCCAAAAACAAACTCAACTGACTTTATGTGCGGCTCAGCAGGCTCCACACCCCCACAAATCTGGTCCAACCCCCGAATGCCGAAGCCTATTCAGCAGCCACAGCAGACAGCGAATTGTGCGGAGCGAGTCACAGTGGCGCCGTTCATTGAATTTTTATTACATGTACGCCACGAAGTCGCACACGAGAGTAAGTGAAATTTATGACATGACCACGCAAACCAAGAATCTTTATGAGATTCCTTGGCGTCCAGGCAACACTAAAAACTGTTGAATCGCAAAATTTGCGAACTGAACCAAAGACGTATTTCTACTCTAAACTATTTTATAGTGTACATAATGAGTTTGTCCTGGGCGAAACTAAGAAGATATTACTTTCTACGATAAACAAATTATACAAATTTCTGCCTTAAAAGTATATTAGTCTATAAGTGTTAGTGTTGATTGAGTTGCAAATCGAATTGGAGTCAGCGAGTCAATTCCATTTTATGAATCACAGTTGAATTAAAATATTCCTCTCATAAAAATACTTAAAACTATATTATAAAATATATTATATATCTTTTAAATAAATTTTATATTATAGATTTTTATAAAATTTATCAATTAATTTTTTGCGAAATTTTTAAAATATGTTTTACATTCGCTTTGCTTCAAATAATAATATAATATATTATTAGAAGTTTTAATATATTATATATTTCATACCATAAATAGTAATATAATTTATTAAAGCATATTTTTTATTTAAAACATATAGTTACCTTTTTACCTATTCTTTAGTTTATTTTATATTATAAATAAGAACATAATTTTTAAAAATAGTTTCTTCCACTCAAGTGTAGTTTTTCGTGGGAACTACTCAATAATGTTGCTCACAGTTCCCTCGGCACTTTTTTGGCACTCGCTGATTGATTTGGCTAGCTGACTGTGATTATTTCGTTTGTTGTTTTATCAAGCGCTTTGTTTATTTATCTTTTTCGATCAAATTTGTTTTAAAATCAAACTCAATTTTTTGGTAAACATTGACAGCGTAAATATTGGCACGCAAACTTGAGTTGGCTTATTTTTAGAGCAGATTCGCATTAAATTAATATTTAATTGGATTGCCCATCTTCGGGGGAGGGCTTGGGCCAGAAATCGACGTGCTGCTCAAAGCAAACATGCAAAGCCAAATGGCCTAATTAGATATGCGTGATTAGCCGTGGACTCGGACAGCGCTGAAGATCAAGATGGTTTCGTTCAAGGCCTCAAGGCTCTTGCATGTCCACTCGACTTGAGAAGCGAAAAGGGCAGAGAGTGGGCAGATGTAAGGACTGTTGTGTACATGTTTCGGTTTTACCTTTTCTGAATATCAACTAGCCGTAAATCTTGGGCTGACATGCAATGATGTTGCCGTTGTTGGCAAAGTAGCGACCTTGACTCGCCTCATGGCAGCTATCGCCTGTCCAACACTCAAGTTATCCTCGTGGCAGAAGGTGTCAAATATTTGCACTTCATTTTGAAAATTGTGAGTATATTGAATTACATTATTATGGATTTAAATGGCAGCTGAAAGTCCTTCAGCTGTCAGCCGCCTGTCTCGAAAGTTATTTGAGTTGTTCAAACTGGCTGCATTTCTCAGCCTTGTCGCTTCTAGTTTACAGACTTCCTGTAGACTGACGTGAAATTGCGGGTAATTTGCCAACGCCCTGGTCTGAGAAAGTTTCGCTCTGAGTAATTGATTGTATTTCCTTGCCGTGTATACTATAAGGACTATTTATATATATGTAGTGAAGCTAAGTCAAGGTCGCGTGTTGGCTTTCTTATCGGACACACGCATAGGCCATTATTCCCAACAGTTTCTATACCCTGTAAATACGCCACATTGCATAAGAAGTTACGTATGAAGTTATTTTTGGCACAAGATTGGATAATGTTGAACAGGGGATCAGGTGAGAGGTTAACCAGTCAATAATTAAGCATGCTTGTAATTATGCTTCTGTAGAAGAGTATAAGGATTCTTAGAACATTTTCATTCCAATTGCACATCATTCAAATATCTCAGCATTCTGAGTAATAGATAACATCTAAAATATAATTTTCTCCTTCTATATATACCAAAAGCAAGAAATATTTTTATGTAGACGGCATCTACTTTAACATTATCTTAAGTAAACAATATCTTTGATCAAATGTATGCACAGTCTATGCGCACAGGAAGTCGCTTCCTGCTTATGCAAATTTTGAAACTGGATTTCAACCCTTAATTCAAGAAATTGCAACAATGTACCCAAATGCTTTTCGAACCACTCAAATCATAAATAAGCTGTCGACAGTAATATGGAAAAACAACAACAATGTATTCATGTCATAATTTGATACGCATCGGAAGTTTGTTGTCGTCTGCAATTAAGTAACCCCCACACACAGGGGCACAGTGAGTGGCAGTTGAGGGGTGGGAGGCATCCTGGTATCCTGTGAAGCGTGCTCAATCTCGGCGCATCCTGTTTGCCGCAAGCTCATTTCGTGCGAAAACAAGTCGAGCAACGCCTGCTCATTATCAGTTATCTACAAATTACGCAATTCATGCCAAGGCATTCGACCCAACACACACACACACACGCAGAGATGAGGTCTGTGACATAGTTTCCAGCTAGGAGTCTGTGGGGTGGACTAGAAATCTTTGCTGGCTATGAGAGTACAGTTGAGGACAGTTTTCGGCGCTGCTGGAAACTGGAGCAGGCGACGTTCTGGCGCCAGTTTGACATGCGCAGTGCTCCGAAGCCGTTGCGCAGTGGGGCACAGATTGAATGCAAGCCAATTAGATAATTGCAGGATACACAGGAGGAGAGAAGAGAAAAAAACGGGAAATCCACATGGAGCAGTCTCTCAAATGAATATTCAATATGTCTCAATTAAATGTAATTATAATTAGTGCAATTCACTTTGTTGGCCAATTAATGCACACTAGTGCGAAATTTAATCAGGTTCCGTTCGGCGTTAATCAATGATTTTTATGAGCGACTGACGGCAGATGCAATTCACCCGCTGTATATTCGCCTGTGAATGAAACAAAACAAATAGCTTGGCAAATATTTCAAATGAAATAAACAGCAAAGCATTTTCCAAATATACAAAATGCATTCAAATTTCCATTCCATGCCAATCATCTAACAATCACAAAAATGCCGCCCAATCGCAGCACATCTACGCGGTTTGGAGAAGTAAATATACGTATGTATGAATATGTATGTGTATATGTAGGAAGAGTGCACAATTTTGCTGTACATTGACCCACAAAAGGTGTTTGCGTGCCAGCCAAACGAATCCCAGGAAAAAACCTGTAAATTGACCAAGCCCTAAAGAATAGCTGGACTCTAGCTTCGATTTTATATGGTGTCAAAAATGCAGTAGATAACAAAGCTGTAAAGGTTAATGACTCATTAAAATTCACTAACAATTATTAAAGTATTTTTGCAAAGTTTGCTTGAAGATTTCATTACACTAAAGCGGAAATTCATTGCATCAATCGAGCTCTTAAAATATTTAAAATTCCAAAATTCAAGCAACAAACGTTGTCCACCTCTCTCCCTCTCTATATTCTCATCTTGCTCTCTCTTTCACTATTTACTTGTTTTGTCATAGACACAAGTTTGTAGAAATAAATTTCCGAGTTTCCGAAAATTAATAAATCTTAAGTCTTGGCAGATGTTGAAAATAATGTGCCATAAACAGCTCTTCAATCTACCAATATATGCACATATAAATATTCCAAAAAGCAATTTGTTTATGACAAAAATACATTTTGGGCTAATCAACCAGATATTTGCATAGATGCTCTACGTCCAGGTGTGAAAACATTTCTAATAAATTTTATTTTTCCGTGAGCCACTTTTACACTAAAACGTTCTCTTAAAAAGAAAAACAATTTACTTTGTTAAAATCTGTTGTTGATAGTTTCTATATGTATTGTGTTAATATAAAAGTTAAAAAAATAAATAAAAATTTGTTCAATTTTATTGTTAAGAAAAAGAAAACAAAAAAAAAAAAAAAAACATCTTCAAGTATAATAAATCTGTAGAGTGCTTTTAGTTGAGCTATGAAAATCAATTGTTCATTCTCTTCAAATTGAATATATATTTTTTTTTGTTCTTAATTTTTCTTTTCTTACTTTTTATGGCTATTTTTAAGCATGGTACCATTTTTATAAACACCGCAAAAAACTCATAAAAGTTGGCCACAGAATCAGCAAAACAACAAAAAGCAAAATGTGCATAAACAAACTCAGGAATGAAACAAGTGAAACTTTTCATTCATTTCATAGATGTAATCAAGCAGAAAGCACACCTGAGATGCGAGGCTGATGATTTAGGAACAGAGAGACGACCTTGCTGCCCCAGATGTAATTACACGTGGGCAGGCCCAAGTGGAACTCGCACACGAAACTGAACAGCAAATGTTTGTACTCGAATGTGTTTATGAATGCACTCAAAGAGAAGCCACGTGCAGCTCGTGCCGATCGGGCAGCGACGAATGGGGAATGGAGAACTTAGATCGGGGAGATTGAGAAGCGGAACTCACCTCGGATATTGTAGGCGGTGGCCAGCAGGCAGAAGCCAGCAATTATAAACTTAATGGGCGCTGACATAGTTGCGGTTTGGTATTAGATTTCTGGGCGCTGGAATGCTAGCTACAAATATCTCTACAAGGCACGTAGACGGTTTGGCGACACAATGGCGCCGGCTTTCCGGTAAACAAGACGCAGCGAGGACTATCGAATTCCTTGTGTGTTTATCCTTTGTGTGGCTTCTCAATGCCAGACAGGAGCTCTCTTACTTGACTCTCTGGCTGTAGTTAAACTGTGCGCGATGCAAACGCTTGCTCGTCCGACTAACAACTGTGTTCGGCCCAGCGAGCCGCAGGCTATGTTGCCACACACTGCCCCAGTGAACGTATGCGTCAGCGTCAGCGTCGGCAGAGACAGAGGCAGCAGCAGCGGCAGTTACGCCAGTGTCGGTCTGTGTCTCAGCAATGATGACGTTCTCGGGGGATGCCCCATGCTGCTCCTGCCAGTAAAGCTGCCGAGCCAGCTGAAATAAACCTTGAAATGAACAAAAGCTAAGAAATGATTGTTTTACTTCTTAAAGTTAATTTGTTTACCATAATTTAATATGAAATCAAATACATTCTAAAAAAGTTTTATATTTAAAATAAATCCTCAACTAATTTATTTAATAATTCAATTTAAATGTCATATATTTCACTCAACATAATGATTGAGAACAAACGTTTGAAATTGCTTACCCAACAAGCAGCAGCATCAACAGCCTTTCTTATTTGGTCACCCTAATTATGGTGTGAAACTTGACTAAATCGCAAGCAGCTATAGCTTTTATAAAGCATGAGGTTTAGTATGTTTATGAACCGTGTTATTGATGCAAAATAAAAATGCAAACATGTATAATATTAATATTTTACAATGTACAGTTTAACAAAAATTAAATCTAAATATATTACAAAAAAAACCAAACGAAAGTTCTTATAAAATGTGTAATGCTCAAAATAGGTTGAAGTCTATAAAACTTAAAGTTATACATTGAAAATTACAACTTATCAAAATAAAAATTAATAAATACAAATATCCATTTTCTTATATCTGTCATACTTTACTTTTCAGCACGCATCCATATCTTATGCTGAAGACCTAAGGAATTTAATTTGAGCGCACTCATCCCAACACAAAATCGATCTATTAAAGTAGTTTGCTTTTTAATACATGTATGTATATCAGATGTTACATGCAGCTAAGCAAATGCAATGATTCACTTGTGATTCATTTGCTGGCACGCACATAATTTGGCCAAATTTTGCCGCAACTGTTGAGCAGTAGATGGCCAAATTTGGCGTATGCTTATGCCACAAGTGGTAGCCGAGGTGTTGACACGGTCAGCCGATATATGATTCCATATGCAAATCTTGACATTAATCTGCGGCATTAGACGACAGTTGGCGACTCCTCCTGCACCCAAAAAGCGCTTGACAAAGCGTGAAAAATGCGACTCGCGCTGCGTTGCACGCACACGCCAAATGAGCAGTCGATTGCGAGCGACGCCATCGCCGCACTTGGAGTTGATTGGCGGACCAAGCCAAGCCGGGCCGCGCCAAGCCGGGCCGGGCCGAGCCAACAACAGCGTTAAATTCAAAACATAATGTTTGCAACAGATTAGGAGGTTAAGTTGAAGCTTAAGCCGAGGCAATAAAAAGTCAAATCACATCATAAACTTAAGCACGGCGTCAGGTTTGGACTTCTAGGCTTGAGGCTTATAGAGAACCGGCCAACCGGCCAACCGGCCAGCTAGCCAGCCGGCCGATCGTGGATACCAGTGACAGCCAGCCTGGGGCCATTGGGGCGTATGCGTAACATTTGCAACCAGCTGAAACGTTGAACAATGTCGATTTACAATATTTACCCATGCCCCCTCAATGATAAATGGCCAGTTTTATTGCATAAACTGTACGACATTTTCGCTAGACACGTCATAAAAAACTAAAGCTAAAAACAAAACAGAAAAAAAAAAACAAAAAGCAACATACGCACAAACATTGCATTTATTTAAAAAGAAAAACAAATCTTAGCCGCTCAACAAGCTTAAATGGCCAAAACGTTTTTAGTTGCCACCCATTAATTTGGATTTTTTGTTCATTTATACCCTGTAACTGTCATCTGTCTGTAAATGGCATATCTTGGCGCTATGCAAATGTGAATGGAGTTGTTTATGAAGTTTTATATTAAGTTACAGGCCTGTGAAGGAACCCAAAAATTATAAGAATTGATACTCCGTAAGCCAAAAAACAAAATGAAAAAACATTTTTCATGGCAACAATTTTCGATTTCTTACATTATTATCCTATACTACTGAGACTTTAAGTAACTACAACTTGTCGATTTAGCCAAAAAGCTACATGTTAAACTAGTTTCGTTTTCAATATCCAGTAGATTTTTATTTAAGATTTTAAACAAATATTGCGATGCTTCTCATTTCTCATTTTAAGCGTTGAGTCTCCATAGAATTTGATGTACTTTAATCAATTAACTTAACTTTAATATTTGTATATGCTGAAAATGCATAAAGCAAATACAATTATTATTAAAATAATTAATTAATTTAATTCCTTAAATAAAATAATTGTAAGGTACTTGAGATTAAAAATCTAAAATTATAAATAACATTTGTATATTACTTTTAATCGCTAAATAATACAACATTTTTTTTTTATTCTTTGCCAGCTCTTAGGCACAATGCTTTCGGCTAATTCAATAGAAACATCAGATAATGATAATCACAGTAAGCCTAAACCCATAAAGATGTTTCACACAAATCCGAAACTCAATTGGCTTGGGTCAAATGTCAGCGAGATTATTGCGTGGTTGTCAATTAGCTCGAACAATTAGTCTTCAATGTGGGCAGTCGAATGAGAACTGAACAGAACTCATTTCCGTTCTGCTGCTGCTGCTGAATCGGATTGAATGACGCATCGGAGCAAGAGCAGCTCAGTTCGTTCCATTCTGTTAGGCTATATCTTTTATCTTTTGTGCCTTGCACAATGTCAAGCGCAATGATGTGAGACAATTACTCTTGATTCGCCTCTGAAAATTAAATAATTTAAGATTATACAAACTAGGCAAGGCACTTGAACTTGAACGCAAAAATGCAACATGAAATATTTTGCAGTGGCTAAATTAAATTACATAAGATATTGTAGGTGAAAGACTTGCATTAGACTAATGCGGGTTCAATGGAATCCAAATGCTTTTATTGAATATTAATTTCATTAAAAATGTATTTATTTTTTGTAAGTAACAAAAATTACTATTTATATACAAATTTAAGATATACATATTTGAACAGTACGTACAATAAAATTTTGTACATAATTTTTTATGTAAATAAAATTTAAAATAAAAAAATAAATAATAAATATATTAAATAAATTTATAAATAAAAAATAATATAAAATGATTAACAATACACAAAAATTAGATATGTAAATAAAAATAATAATAATGAATATATGCAATTTTCAGACATATATTATAATACAAAAAATAATATAATAAACTTTCAAATAATTATTATGAATTATTTACAACAAAGCTAAAAATTTATATTGGTTTTTATTATATTCAAATGGAGTAAATACTAGTTAGTCCGACACATTAGCAAAGAAATTCATTTCATAAATTTATTTGATGCAGAAAATAATTTATTGAAAAAAAAAAAACTAATCACAATTCAAAGCTCTTTGCGTTTGCAGCTGCACCAACAAATTTATTATATCCATGTCCAAATAAAACTCTTGATATATTTTGTACCGTCTAATCAATTTATTTATAAGACACCATAAAAAAAGTGCTTCAATTACAATTACAATAAGTAATACAATATTACAAAGGTCTATAAGAGTATATGAATGTGTGTGTGTGTGAGTATGTGCAAGTGTGTGTGTGTGAGTGTGTGAATCAGTTAAGTGAACCAATTGGCGTGCAAAACATAGAATATATGAATTTTTGACTACAAATTTACTGATTGCTTCAGATCGAGCCAAGTGGAAACCTTTGAATGCTCTACAGCTACATAACAATTATATAGTTACGAATTTATATTTGAATTTGTTTCGTCTGTGTAAATGGTAATTTTATGATATATATATAACGAAGTGTGACTGCCAGCTATTAGGTGCTGAGTGTTTGTGCCATTTGCATTAAGAGTGTTAAATGAAATTTTTGAAAATCTTTGCTGTTTGATGTGTTTTTGTGTACTGTCTGCTTAAAGGAATCTGTAAGATTAAAATTCATTTTTGCTTCATTCTCATCATGCAATTAAGTGCAGTCTCCTCCCACATCATTTCACTCTTCCCGGCCATAGGCTCATTTGCATAGCTGCCGCAGCGCGGCGAGCAGCGGCAACACCAGCAGTCCCACCAGGCCCGACAGGCCGCCAGCCGAGTTGCAGCCGTCCGTGGTGCAAGTGCGGCAGTAAATGGTCTTGATGTAGGATGAGGTCGTGTCCATGGCGCATTTGTCTGCCGGATCATCCACATCCTCGTAGAAGCAGGAGCGAGAGATTACCCGCTTGCCGTAGACTGCAATGAAACGAATGCCATAATCAACTTTAAATATTCGCTCGACAACATTTTCTGTATTAATATATTCATATGCTTGTATATTTATATCTGCAGATATGTACACTGAGAGAAAACTGAATGTAATTTATGTGGCACGCTGCCTTGGCGTGGGCTTCGCTTCGGTTCGACTTATCTCAAAAATGTCATTTCAAATGTCGTCCAAATCGTCGATCAACTGCCGCTGGCTAATGGCTTCCTGCCAAATAGTCGAGCCGTGAGGTAAGTGCAGCTGATGCAATAAGCCATAGGTTTTTTTTTTATTCTCTACACATTATATAGCAAGCAAAAATAAAAATCCAACAATTTCCAAGCAAATGAATAAATATAAATGTTCGCTTAAGGTAAACAGATTTGGTTTCAGCAGTTCAGCTGAAAGTTGTTTAATTGCTAGTACTAATAATAATTTAGTGACCAAATAAGTTAACCAATTTGACAACAATTTAATGTTTATTTTAATATAGAAAATTAAAAAAAAAAAAAAAAAAAATTTCAGCAGATAATTCTATCGATAATATTTAACTGTTCAAATATTCAGTAAGATTTGTCATTTGATTTGTGTATATTACTTCGAGAGATATTTATTTAATTTAAAGTTAAAATTCAATATTATTTATGTAGCTATTACTTGAATAGGTATTTAATTAATTTAATTTAGAATTTAAAACACATTAAGATAATGAATTTTTCCAATTATTT